CAAGACTTCTGCCTACAGTCTATGTGAGTTTGGAAGTAGATGCTTCCTCCACCAGGCTCCCAAAGGAGAATACAGTCCATAGATGGCCTTTCATGGTAGTCTGAAACCCAAAGTAGCATGTAAGGCATGCCACTAAACAATAAGATCACATATAATATCCGTATACCTATGTACTTGATATATGTAGCTTTAAATTTTATTATGTGTGTGCACATGTGTGTACCATGGTGCACGTGTAGAGATAAGAGGACAACTTATGGAAGTTGACACTGTCTTTCCACTATGTGGATCCTAGGAATTAAAGATGGGTTGTCAAGCTTGGTGGCAAGTGCCTTTTTATACACCAAGCCATTTTATGAAATCATAACTTTATAAGAGAAAAACCTTTCCTTGGTTGAATTTCCCTCCTCACTATAACGTCCTCCTAGGCATATGCTCTTAAACATGTTCCATGTGATTTTTAAACACCATTTCTTTTATATAAATGTATTTATAACTTCCCTGCTACCTAGTAACAATCTGTCCTTAGCATCTCTGCATTATCTATCTTGGCTTGTTCTCAATGTGTCATAGTAACCCATGAGAACACCAGCTTCTGCCAGCCTGGGAAATCAGCAACTCATGTCTGTGACTTTGGGTCAACATAGGACTTGAACCAAGAAAGCATCTTAGAGTTCAAGCCCAGGCCCTTCTCCTTCTATTTTTGCAAGTGAAAGAATCTCTGGTCCAGAAATACAAAGAGACTTGCTCAAAGCAAATAGTAAAGCAGACATGAGCCTAGTGTCTGTGCCTGCCTAGGGCTTTCTGTTTCAGCCAATAGCTATCAAGTTGTACTTATCTGGGGTTGGTCTGAGCATTGTGCTTCACACTGAGATTCTGTTCATTACAAGCAAGTTACATCCGAGGGTACAGGTTCCATAGCCAGTAGGTAGACACTATGGGTGTCTCCACACTACAGTAAGGGTTGAGTATGTCATTATGTCATTATGGATTTGTTTGCTATTACTCTGTGCTTTTGCTAAATTAGTCCTGAGGTAAAGACCTTAAATGAGCCTTTCTGGGTATCCATGTGCAGTTTTTCTCCCTCTAACAAGTCTGCCCCCAAAGTGTGAAGACTTCAACAGCTTTAGAACTACATCCAGAAGGGCTTACATTTATTATGGCTTTTCCCACAATGATAGTTTTCATTTAGCAAAAGCAAAATTATGCTCAGGCTAAGTCCCAGATGTGGAAAGAGAAGCTGGTCTTCCCCCATAGTCTCACCCGTCATGGAACCTCTCCCGGCACAGCTGGGAGATGTCCCCCGGCCTGCCTGTCCCATCTGGTGCACATCTCCATCCCAGCATTGCCATGCCTTCCCTCAGGCAGCCCAACTGGACAGGGGTGTTTTTCTGGGGAAGCTCGGCCATGCCCTCCACTTCCTCCCACCCATGCCCCTCTTCCCCAGCTGGGAACTTTAAACAACTGAAGTCTCACTTAATCCTGAGCAAATAGGCTGGGGGAGGGGAGCAAATGAAGGGTGGAAGCAGAAAGCTCTGGGGCTTACATCTAAAATCAGACATCCAGGCATCTCTTGAGCTCTGACACAGTGTAAGGTTCTTTCACATCTGCAGGACTTTTCACCCAGGCAGACCCTGGCTGTTCAGAACTAGGGGTAAATTTCCAGGCGTATTCATAAGCCCATAGTCTCAACATTCAGGAGACTGAGGCAGGAAGATTAAGAGTCCAAGGAGAGTCTGGTATACATAGTGAGATCCTGTCTCTAAATAAATAACCCAGAAGCAGGAGGAAAGCAATGTGGCTTACCCGCCATATCTAAATCATGAGTCAAAGGGGGATATCAGGGATTTCCCCTAAGTTGGCGATTCTCAACTTGTGGGTCCCAAACCCTCCGGGAATTAAATGACTCTTTCACAGGGGTCTTATATCAGATATTCTGCATATCAGATATCTATACTATGATTCCTAACAGCAAAATTACAGTTAGGAAGTAACAATGAAATACTGTTAAGATTAGGGTGTCACCACAACAAGGAACTGTATTAAAGGGTCACAACATTAGGAAGGTTGAGAACCACTGACTTAAGCCCTTAGTGCACCATACAGCAAGAGACAGCAGGGGGCGCTCTGCTCTTGTGCGGGAGCCAACATTTCTCAAGCTGTCAGCATATAGCATCTTAGGAGAAGGCTGATAGTGAATGGACAACTTTCTCTTCAATGCAATAATATTAAGGCGGGGGGGGCTTTTAACAGGTGACTGAGTTATACAGGCTCTTCCTGAGGCTGGCTGGCCAACCAGCCCAACTTAGTTGGCTTTTGTTCAGGCAAGTGACAAACTGCCCCGTAAAACAATGTGGACCTCTGGTCTTGACAAGCTTGTACATACATGTGCATACATATGACCTCACTCGTATGCACTCATGTGTGCACATGCACACACACACACACACACACACCCATACACTCCTTGCCAGATAATGGCTTGACCTGGAACTTTCAATTTTCCAGAACTGTGGACATTTTTCTGTGGTCCATTACTGATTTTTATTTTGGTGACAAAATACAATGCTGGAAGGAAGGGGGTTCCGACATGATTTAAGAAGGGATACAGTCCAGGTAAGTGACACACAGTGGCAGAAGCATGAGACAGCTCATCACATTAGGCAGGAAGTATGGACAGACTACAAACACTGAAGGTCTGTCTTTAGGGACCTATTCCCTCCGGCAAGGCTCTGCTTTCTAAAGGTCTCAAAGTGACATCACCAGTTGGGGACTAAATGTTCAAACACATAAGCCTATGGGAGACATTATTCAAAAGACAACCACCCAAGCCTAAGGTATCTTAATATAGCTGGTACAAGACTATGACAGAGGCCCTAGAATGTGTGCTGATGAGGTAAATAAGTGGTACAGCAGCAGACAGGCAAGAGGCCTTTCCTATTTCAATCAGAAATAGTTTTCCAGGGACCAGTGGTGTTTGGGACTTCAGGTAGGTGAGCCAGGAGGAAACTAGGATGGGGAGTCCAGTTTCTCAATGGACATGCACACAAAGCTGGCTGTCACAAGATGTGGCCCACTTGAGCAATGCTATTACCTCTAGAAACATCTGTCCTTTCCTAGTAGAGGAGGGGGTGATATGAGGAGTTAAAGAGCTATCTGCACACAGCCGAAGTTTAGAAAGAGCTTGTTCCCTATTCCTATCATCCCCCAAGTGGTGATGAAGAGTAGGGAGCAGAAAGTCTTTCCAGTAATCGATAGTACTAGTGAAGGGTTGTCACAGTTTGAATATGCTTGGCCCAGGGAGTGGCACTATTTGGAGGTGTAGCCTTCTTGGAGTAGATGTGTCACTGTGTGTGCTTGCTTTAAGACCCTTATCCCAGTTGCCTGGAAGTCAGTCTTCCACTAGCAGCCTTTGGATGATGTTGTAGAACTCTCAACTCTGCCTGCACCATCCCTGCCTGGATGCTGCCATGCTCCCTGCCTTGATGATAATGGATTGAACCTCTGAACCTGTAAGCCAGCCCCAATTAAATGTTGTCCTTATCAGAGTTGCCTTGGTCATGGTGTTTGTTCACAGCAATAAAACCCTAACTAAGACAATGGTCCTTGTGGCAGGTAGTACAAGAGCTGGGGTTGTTCACATACAGCAGAAATCACATGGAAGACTATCTACTGAGGACCTGGTCCACATTAATGATGCACCCTGTGTGTCCTCAATATATCTGCATCTGCTTTTTTCTGAGTACAAATTTTATCCCCTCTCAGGGAATGAAACCCATAGCTCTGTAACAAAAGATACTGCGCTGAGTGATACCATCCCTGGGTTAACAAAATTTTTGCCAGGCTTTACATGCATGTTAGTACATACTCTCTAGTGCTCAGCTTTTGAGGGGAAAAGGGGCTGGAGGGGGCCTTGGGAGAGATGGATCAGTAGTAAGAGACACAGAGCAAATGGAAGGATAAACCAACTTTTGTTCTTCCCAGTTTGGGACTGGACACATCCTCCCCTGAACTCCATGGAAGCAGAAGAGTGGCTGGCTGCTCTCTGCCATGAGCACCAGCCAGAGAAAACAAAGGCTTTGCCTGCCCTTCATGCCAGCTTCTCTCAGCAAAGAGAATAAAATGCCCCACTTACTTTTATCGCTCAGAGGTTTCCTGGGAAATGGACTATTAGTTCCCCTAATATAAAGATAATAGGCTTGTCCCCATTGGCAAGTGGCACAAGCCCAGCACAAATGAATTCACAGAACCATCGTAAGACCTCCCAGCAGATGGCAAATAGCCTAGGAATGAGAGTGGGATCAGGATAGGAACTTTGGCAAAGTGTGGACCCCACCCCATCCCCACCTGTGGGCAGTGAGTCTGGGAAAAGTCATTCAGACCCATGGAGTCCTATTTCTCTTCTCCCTTATCAGATAGGGTACAGGTGGATGCCATCAGCAAGGTGAAGTTGTCTCTAGTGAGGAGATGACGGAACAATGCCACCAAACAGGCTTTCACAGCAGAGGGTTCCCAGGCCCTTCCTGCCATCACTGTGGCGCTCATTGCCAGAAAATACACCTACCACACCAACTGCACCTCTTACTGCGTCGATGTCTTTGGGGTAAGTGGATATTATGATAAAGATCAAAAGCTCAGCATCCTACCACAGAAGGATGCCAACCAAGATGTTGGTTGGCCTAGGCTGAAGGTCAAGGGTCCTATAGGCCAAGGACAGAGTACTTCCCAGAGAAATCGGACCTCTGCTCGTTCTTTTCCAAGAACCTATCCCCCTCTCCTCCACCCTCTCCAGTCTCCATCTCTGGCCCCTAGGACTGAAATTCTACAGGAACAGTACTTTGGGGACTTCAGCCCCCAAAGGGGGGGACCATGAAAGGGCAGGAGGCCTTGTTTGTACTGTTTCTTTCTTTCCCCTCCCCCCTCTCCAAAGGAGTACTGGACAATGCCAGTAAGTGCTCAGGAGCTCAGTGCTACCTTGATTCATCAGAATGTGCTAGTGGGCATAACTTTATTTAGGCTGGCCCCATGAGTGGACCACGTGCAGACTATTTTTCCTGCTTAGGGCTCTGTTTCCTGCCCTCTGGGACTTCATCTGAATTCCCACAAACCCCAGGACTGGCCCATGCAATCGATTTCCCTGACTCCTGTCTCCGAAGTTAGGAAACACCAAGCAGGACAACAGGGCCAGCCTCACCATGAGTTCAAGGGCAGCTGATAGCCCTTCCCCCTCTCTCTATACTACTGGGTGTCTGGGTTCTATGGGGTACAATGGACTCACACTGTCTGTTCTGAAGAGGAGGCTCTGTCTTCAGCCATAGAGACTTTCTCTGAGGCATGCTTTGGCAAACCTGTTCCACTCAGAGCCAGGATGACCATTGACTGTCCCTATAGCATACCTTGGCCCACTCAAATCTCTTGTAGCAGAGAGATGGTGCTAGAATCAGTCTGCACTTCAGAAGGGGACCTACAGGTAGGGCATGGAAGGATCCAGATATCTTCCAGCTACTTAGCGGTTTAGCAAGAAGGACAAATGCATCTCCATCAGGAGAAAGCAAAGAGAAAAACTGCCCGAGAACATAGAAGGGTCAGTCCAGGGGAAGTTTAGTGAGCAAGAGAAGGATGGGCCAATTTATGGATCAGCCTCCTCCTCCTTATCATCCTCCTCTTCTTCCTCCTTTCCTCCTCTTCCTCTGCCTGTCCCTCCCCCTCCTCCTTCATCGTTTTGCTGGAGCTCTGATGCAACAGCAGGGACTTCCTGTTCCTCTGCCAGCTCTTCAAGCTGCTGTTGTGCTAGGAGTTGGCCCACCAGCTGCTCCAGGGCCTCCAAGCTCAGCCTCTGCAGACGTTCCTCGTGCTCTTGCCTCAAAAACCCCAGCACCGTCTTTGCATCCTTTGGCCCAAAATGTTTGTCTAGGACCTGGCCCAGCTGGAGCCACAGGGGCTGGGTTTGATGGGTCTTGTCCAGTGCTACATCCTCTTGAGGCCGCATGATGACGTTGATGGAGGCATTGGGCCCAATGCTGTAATCTGAGAGGTATTTGTCATCAGCCAGGAGCTGGCCTCGGAACAGCAGGTGCTGCTGCTCCTCGGGTACCTGCAAGTGCTGAGAAACCAGCTTCTTCAGTGTGGCCACACTTTCTTTTCCAGATACCTTCAGGCTGCATCTTCGGCCCAAGAGCAGCTTGACCGTGAGGAACATTGGGGCCAGAGAAGAATCAGGAGGGATCCATGCTCTGAGAGTTGCCCTGAAGGTATGGGGCCCGACAGGTGACCCTGTCACTGCTCCTAGTAGGGCAAGGGCCCAGCCCACATGGGCAGCCACTAGCTAATGCACAGTGATGTCATAATGCTACAGGAGGGCTCATTTCCCGAGCGGAACTTTAGGGACAGCAGAGAGGCATTGTGGACATGAAGCATCCTTCCTTCATGAGAAAAGAGGGAGAAGGGCAGGGTTGGGGGAGGGGGAACGACCAGGAAAGAAAATGCAGACCTAGGAGAAAGGAGAGCTGGAACAGAGAAAGCGAACAGGGAAAGGCTCTACCACAACAGCATGGCCGCTGATTCTTTCAGCACATGCCTTGGGTACTTTCTTGCTCTCTTAGTGTCAGCCAGAGAAACCATGGAGCCCCAGGAACACAACAGCAGAAAGCTAGGGCAGAGTCACTAAAGGTGTCTGTCTTGTATCCATAGCTTCAACTTAGTCCACACATCCTACAAGATACATTGATGATGCCTTTCTTGTGGGAGGGAAATGTGTATGCTCATTTAATCCTATAGCAAGAGGCACATAGCTGTGTCTTTATGGTGGCCCGCCTCACCTCCTAAAACATCTCAGTATCTTCCTCATGTCAGGTAGGCTCTGAGCAGACTCTGGGGTCAGAAGTACACAAGGAACAGGATGTTTTCTGGGCATTTGTGTGTTGCATTTGGCAAGTTTCACTGTAACACATTGTTGATCTTGGCCCAAACCCTTGGCAGATGTTGTCACAAGCCCAAGAGGATGGTACTTTCTTGATTGAGAAGCAAGTATCTCTAGAAAAGAGCCAACATCCTTAAGAGGTAAGCTGACTGCACCAGAGGCTTCCTTTCCTTCATCCTTCCTTCCTCCATCCCTGCCTGACTTCTTTTCCTTTCCCACCACCCTGACCCTACAGAGGATGACAATGTTGACAATAACCACAGCTTTCCTGAACCTGCCATCCACAGCACCCAACTCCAACCCTCTCCCAAAGTTGTTCAACCTCCACTCCTGACTCCTCAGCATCTAACAGCAGCTGAAAGAAATGTCCATGGGTGCATGGACTGTAACTATACCTATTCTCCCATGGGTGCGTGGACTGTCACTATACTTATTCTCCTGTGGGTGCGTGGACTGTCACTATACCTATTCTCCTGTGGGTACGTGGACTGTCACTATACCTATTCTCCTGTGGGTGCGTGGACTGTCACTATACCTATTCTCCTGTGGGTGCGTGGACTGTCACTATACCTATTCTCCCATGGATGCATGGACTGTCACTATACCTATCCTCCCACGGGTGCGTGGACTATCACTATACATATTCTCCTGTGGGTGCATGGACTGTCACTATACCCATTCCCCCATGGGTGTGTGGACTGTCACTGTATCTATTCTCCCATGGGTGCATGGACTGTCACTATACCCATTCTCCGACTCCTGTATGCTTACTCTTGGCAGATGGCCCAGACTGTGGTCCACAGCACTCACTGGTAGTAATCTCAGCCACTGAGCCTTGTGTTATTCCTCCTGTTCCCGAAAATTCCCCCAGAGTTCAGTTCTCCCTGGCCCCCACGGGCCTGGGTGATGCAGGCTCTTAGGTGATACAGACTCTCTCCTTCCCACAGTCACTGCTCTGGACTCACTTCATCTCAGTCCAGCTACCACCTTAGACCCACTCAGTCCATGGCCAAAGGATGGCCCTAAAGTTACGACGAGTCCTGGAAGCTTAATCCCTTTGCTTTTGGAATAAAAGCAAGCCTTCCTGGCATGGGCCTTTGTTTATCACCCCAGTCTCATCGCAACCCCCAGTTTTCACCCTTCACTCCAGACAGATGAACCTGTCTTTGTTTCTTCTTGCTTTCCCATTTGAACTCTGCCAATTCATCCTGCAAACCCTGCTTGCCTTAAAAATTACCTCCTCCATGAAACCTTCTCTGCTTTCCTCAGTCTTGGACAAAAGTAATCTTACATCCCTCTGTGCAGCCATTTTTCCAGTGATTAGTATACTCGGCATATACCCAGCCCTCTCTCTGGTGCTCAATAGCAGGGCCTGAGACTCATCCACTGTGATATTCATGCCTACAGTACCCTGAGTATTATACACAGACAGCCTTGAACACACATTTGTTAGTAGAAGAGATCCAATTTAGACACATAAGCCATGCAGGATCCAAGTACATAAGCTGTGGAAAGACATAAACCTGACTGCAGCCTCTCCTTCACCCTCCCCCTTCCCCTAGAGAGATGAAAATCCAAAATTATATAGAACATAAACCAGAAAGTGATATCAGGCTTTACCAAAGGCTCTTTTATAACACTTATTTAAATAGCCAGTTCCCTTGGTGGATGTAAAATAAATCTAAATTTGCAAATGTACACACAGTGTGGGCGGGGCTGTGGGCTCCATGATGGACAGGCAGACATCTGCACAGACGAGGGGAGGACGAGTAAGGTTCTGAAGGGCCATTTAAGAACCCTCAGTCCCTTGAAAGGAAGACCCCCATGATGAACCAATCATTGGATAGACAGAACTAACTAATCTACAAAGGCTTTCTGGAGGGCAAGATCTGAGTAAACTTTACAGGGCACAGAGGAAGGTGAGGTGCAGTCTGTCCTGGGCTCAGGGCTTCTGGAGGATTCAAGAAGCTGGGAGCACGGAGGCTAGGAGCACGGAGGAGGAAGATAACGTCAGCCGTCTGCCTCTAGCCCCTCCTCTGAAGGTCCATTTATCCAGGCTTGAGCTGCCCCAGACATGAGAAGTCTCTGGAGATGGCCACTTGGGTCAGGCTCCCCAGACTGTAAGCACATGGAAGCCATAACACAGGCTCAGCTCTCCATAGCCCTTGACTATGTGTATGCAGGTGCACCTATGACAGAGACTTTGAAGCCATGAGAACAGTAACAACTGAATTAGAAATGTCTGTAACTTCTGAGAGAAATGGTCACTACTCAAGCCCTGGAGCCTCCAGCCCCCTCCCAAAGGGGACAGAAGAAGCATCTGTCTGGGTACTAGAATCCCATTTTGAGCTAGGAAATATTCCCTTCCCCTCACGTAATTGCTTGTCTTAATTACACAATTAACATGATAAAATGTAATTGTGTAATCAAAGCACACAATCAGACAATGATTGTCATAATTAGAGGGGAAGATCATCTGGAATGAGTGGGTTTTATGATTTGAGAAAGGAATGAATGTGTGCAGAGAACATGGACGGCCATGGGTTCTGATCTCTCTCTCGCAAACATTGCAAGAGCTATTGGCACCACTGAGGGACCAGTGAAATGTCTGAGGGGCAGATGGGCAGGGTGGGCGAGTTCTCCTGGAGCTCTGAGCATCCAGGTTTCTGAGCTCTTCCAGTGCTCCTGTGTGGGCTAACTAAACCTTGGTAATCATAAAATTAGACCTACCTGCTGTCCACCAGCTGGCCTGGGGCCTGCCTTTAATGGGTTAATCCTCAGATCTCAGTTTTCACCTGTAGACAGTAGGAGTATGATGACTTCCCAGCAGCCTTCTGAATCTGAGGTGTGAACCCACAGCATCTGACCCTCAGAGATATTCAATGTGGCATTCAACTTACAGATGGAACTGAGAGTTTCTATTGTCACTCGTGTAACAGTGAGAAAGACCCCACGGCATCTGGAAAGCGTGCCTGCAGTGACTCCCAGTATGTTCCTACCTGTATTGGTGGGTGGGCGGGGCAGTCTTCTGTAAGCTGGTCCTAGCTCAGAGGAGAAAATGAGGTGAGCAGGAAAGTTAGTGACATCTGAGGGGCTCCAGAGTGCAGGAAACTCACTGTTGCCTCCTCTCTGGTTCTGTATGAAAGCTTATCAGGGAAATAAGTTATGATCTCTGTCCACCTGACCATCATCACCACCACCACCCCATGAGTGCAATGAAGTGTTGTTATTTTACTTGAATGATGTCAGCTTGGCCTTGAAGGCAGTGCCAGGGATGAGGAAACAAGTGGAAGTCAAGGCAAGACCTAGAAACAGCCAGAAGCAAGAAGGAAGAAGACAGGTATAAAAAGCCAGCAGAGGAAATGTTTAGCCAGGGGAGACCCAGGGAGTGGTCCAGGGAGGGGCACCAGGGAAGGAGATAAAAAGAGGAAAGAAGGAGAGATGCAGGGGCAGGCAGAAGTAGTTCACATGAAGTACAAACACTAGGAGGGCTGCTCCTCTGAGAACACCATCCCCTCTCCTTAGAGTGGAAAAAGTTCATGGGAGAGATTGTCAGAGAAAGTGGGGTCCACCCTGGAAGCTATTTATCCCAGGGTAGAGCTGAGAGCGAGCGTACTGTCTTTGATTCCAGGCACTCCCTGACTCTTCAACTCAGGGAACCTTAGCACTCAGAAGCACATCTCAAATGCCGTGGTGTAAGGTCCAGAAGAGCCCAATGCTACCAAGTCTTCAACCCAGTGGCAAGGCCCACCCTCAGGCCTACACTGTGCTATCTTCTGTAGCTGTCTAGCTGTTACTAGGAGAGGTTCCTTGAGGCTGCTCTGCACTTCATGACCCTAGTTCTGTATAGGACAGGCAGCTTTTCAGGGGACTTTGTGAGCAAGAGAACCATGGCAGATCTTATGCGACTACAGGAGTCCAGAGGAGCGCAGATGGGAGAGCACAAGGAAAAGACAAGCTTCTGATGGCAATGAGCAGCCTGGTGTCTGTCCAGATCTCCATTCTCACACCTAACAACCTTAGTCCTGCCCCATGCTGCTGTTCCAGGGCTCCAGAGAAGTCAGAGGCCTGTCTGCAACCTGCTCGAGCAAACAGGTCCCAGAGCCAAACACAACTGTCACCTTGTGACATCGGCTGTGGCCACTAGATGTCACTGGTGACCTCCCTGGCCAGCCTTGGTGGCTATGGCCAGCCAAGCTGTTGTGAAGCCTGGGCACACAGGATTGGAACCTCAGTACAGAGCTTTATCTGACATGAGACCCCACCTCTCACAGACTGTCCAACCCTTGTCAGTCATGGTTAGGGTATAGTCACTAGTCACAAGGGCCCACACTGGGCCAGGAAGAAGAGGTCAGCCAGGCACAAATTTTGAGGGAACACATAAGCCTGATACTTCAGTACCTAA